TCGACAACTTGACAAGCCTGAATGCAAATCTAAATCACGAAACGCTCGAGTGAGCAATGAAAGACTTCATTGATTCATTGGACCTGACTTGACTACTTCAGTTGTCTCGACTCTCGACCCTGAGCCTGCCCGAGACTAGTGACTAGAGCGACCACACCATGAATGAACTCTGTCTCAAATCCGACACGGTCCGACACTGGAAATTCAAAAAAAAACAACCCTCTGAAGCAGCATCAACGACTGGGAACTCGAGGAAACTCCCTGAGCCCCAACCCGAGCCGGAGGGGCACGGCCTGGGAGGAGGTGTGCCAGGCTGAGAGCCACGGAACCTGACCGAAGTCAGGCCCCCGCGGCCACCCTTGGCCAAGATGAAACCTGGGCTGAGAGCCACGGAGCCTGACCGAAGTCAGGCCCCCGCGGCCACCCTTGGCCAAGATGAAACCTGGGCTGAGAGCCACGGAGCCTGACCGAAGTCAGGCCACCGCGGCCACCCAAGCCAAGATCAAACCTGGGCTGAGAGCCACGGAGCCTGACCGAAGTCAGGCCACCGCGGCCACCCAACCCAAGATCCAACCTGGGCTGAGAGCCACGGAGCCTGACCAAAGTCAGGCCACCGCGGCCACCCGAGCCGAGCTGAAAGCCATGAAGCCGCTGCCGCTGAGCCGTGGGCAGCCTTCCAATCCATCGAGTACACGCCTACCTCCCGACTCCCGACTCCCTACTACCTACCTTCCACGCCGATCCCTCGCTCTCTCCCTTTCACCCTGCATGTAGAACCTCTCTCTCTCTCATCGGCACTCTTGGTCCTTGCCTTGACAAGGTTTCGCCCTACCTCCAGCCATCTCTGGCGGCAAGCGTCACGGCCGAGTGTGGGCAGCAATTGCTGCAAAGCGGGAGACTCCACTCCAATCTGGACACGACATCTGCAAAGCCTCGTCCTCTAGCATGTAGCCGCCCACACTCCCTGTGCTTCTTCCGCGAGAGCAAGTGATGTGGAGGGGAGCTTGTGTCCATTGTTCATTGTGCATGCTACATGTGCAGAATAGTTTCAGCCAGATGCTGCACGCGGTTGTCAATGAGTGCAGCTCTCAATATTCAGGATCCCACGGCCGCACGCATGTGGTTCAGGGGACGGCATGTCCTGCTGCGGAGAAGAAAGCACAAGCTTCCTCTACGACCAGCTACTAGGCAATTAGGCAACTAGCAGCAGTTTCTCAATGCCGCTACGAAGCCAAGCAATCCGGCAGGCAATTCTTTGCTTTTCAGGACGCTGCGATGTAAAGCCGTCCAAAACTTGTCGGACTCCGGACTCCCCGGACACTCTCTTAAAAGCAACGGCCGTTCAGTCCAGTCCCTAGCTGATTTGAGGCAATGGCAATGGGCTATGGCCTTTGAACTCTTCGCAGTCTCTTTTTGGGCACTAAGGAGCCATAAGTTCGGAAACTCTGCTCTGCAGTAGAACAACCCAGAAGCTCAAAGCCCTAAAACTTGAATCCACGGCCCAAATATACAACCCCAAGCACAGGCACTGGCACTGGGCCGGCACCACCCTTGTCCTTTTAGAATTTAGAAGTAATAGACAGAGGCCTAGACTTATATACTATACCTATATTATATCCCTTATTAGTAGGAATTAATTAAGGAGATCCACTAGCCGGTCTGTTTATTCTTCTGACTTCTGAAGGACCATGAAAAAGGACAAGGCCGGCGGGCCGTCTGTGGAATTTGTGGAAAGAGTCCGGAAAGAGTGGCAGGGCCGGTCCGACCTTGGTTCAAGCTTTATGTCTTTTGGCTCGAAAAGAATTCCTAGGATAGTGCTTTTCGGGGTGTTGCCTGTTTCTTTTGAGCGAATCTCCAACGTCAAGAGGACTCTTATTCTGACCGTTCTCCGTCAACAAGGGTGTTGCGGTGTTCCATGTCTTGCCGTTTCAATACGGGGGAACATTCGGATGTTCTGTCCACTCTTGACTGTTCAAGGGCTTTAAGCACTGCACCCGCTGCTGCCAAGACTCCAGTGGACCGAAACTGCAGCGGAGTCTGCAGGTTTCCAAGGTCCAATCCTGTACATGGTTGGGTTACGGCGGTTCGGGCTTAGGCTTTAGTCTAAAATTTAGGAGCAACTGCCTCTTTTCATTGTCCCTGAAGCTGCTGCAAGGACATCATAAAACAGATGCAGGTTTTAAGGGCTGCTTGTCAGCTTCGGCAGCTTCGGTTCTGGGCTTCTTCAGGTTCAGAGCTGGCTTTTCTACAATCTAAGTTTAGACCCCTCGGCCTCTGACCAGATGCCCAACCACATCAGTCGTCTTCTAGCTCTGGTTCCTCCTGTGAGGAATGTTTGTTTAATTAGGACATGGGCTGAAGCAAACAAAAGGGCGCATTGGGATCTTCTCGTCCTCATCTGATCCCAGCGGCTTCTCAGAGTCGGCAGATCTTGCCGGCTGGACCTGCAAAAACAAATGCAATTTCTTCCTGCTGCCTAGGGCCGGACCACTTCACAGCACCTTCTTCATGTCGATGTCCATCAAAGCCTGCAACGAGACGTGACATGCCCTGCACTTGCCATTGGTGTGATCACCGAACGGGCAATTCCAGCTTGCTCAGCCTCATGCGCCTCATCTTCTGATCCAGACTCATCTCCAGATTCAGGCAGCTGGACCTGTAAGGAGAAATGCATTCTTGCATTGCCGACTACGGAAACTTCAGACGTCTCGGCACCGTCTGCAGCATGTCGATGTCCAGAGCCTGCAAGGAGATGTGACATGGCCTGCCCTGCACTTGCCATCGGTGTGAGACAATGGGCATCATCCAGCCAGGTCAGCCTCATTTCCTGATCCATGCAACTCATCTTCAGATCCAGGCGGCTGCTCCTGCAAGGAGAAATGCAATTTCATCCCACTGCTGACTAGGAAGAAAACTACCTCACACGTCCCGGCACCTTGTCATTCTCCTTCTCGATGTCCGACCATGGCTCCTGCAACGACACATGACTCACATGACATGCCCTGCACTTGCCATTGCTGTGAGGCTGTGAGACACATCACCGAACTGAACTGGCACATCCAGCCTGCTCAGATCCAGGGCCATCTCCCGATCCCGATGCATCCGACTCAGCCTGCAAGGACAAGTGCAGCCCGTTCCTACTGACTACGGCGACACCTGGACATGTCTCGGGACCTTCCCCGTCGCGATGTCAACCTGCAATTTGGCAAGACATGCCATGCCCAGCACGGGCCATCGGCCACCGGTGTGAAGCATTTCACTCACCAAAGCCCGTCCTTCGGGGCAGCCTTTGCCTTCTGAGCTCGTCCTTTGCCACCACGACCGCCACGACCGCCACGACCACGGCCACGAGCCCGGCCGTCCGCGGTCTGCTTTTGCGGCAACTCATCTTTGTCGACATACAAGACACAGGACCCCTTGGCAGTGAGGGTCTTCTTGGTGACCAGGTGCAAGGCGACCGGAAGCCAGCACTTTGCCTGGGAGTCTTCGTGATACTCCAACTCCCAGGCCAGCTGCACAGCTGCCGCTGGCTTGCCGTTCGGCGGCCAAAAAGCGGACGGAACCGAAACCGAGGCAGCGATTCTCCGCTTCCGCACCTGCACAGGTCATACTGCAATTGATTCTTGGTGCAGTCGACATGCTTGAACTCTGAACACTGAATCGAATGCTGAATGCTGAATGCTGATTCAAAACGGATGGAAGGAAGGAAGCAGGCCTGCAGACCCTTGTCCTCTGACTCGGCCACGTCGTGGCAGAAGACGGATTGTCGATCCGTGTTGGCTTCCAGCAGGTTCTTGAGTCGCTGGACCTCGCCTGAGATGGTCGGACGATGCAGCAAGAGAAGGTTCTTCAGGACACACGGAGCTTCAGTCGAAACCACCGGCTACCTTTCATGTTGCTTGTGTGGGTAAACAGAACCGTATGTGCTTCGCTTTGCATGGCAAGGGCAAGGGCATCTCGGTCAGAGACTTTGCAATCCACTGTTGTCCGTAACAGCCGAGTTTTTGGACACTGGACACTTTCAAACTTGACACACTCTGACACACGCAGAATATCCAATTCTGTCCGAGTACCGTCGACAACCACGAAATCCTGGAGTGCCAGCTTGAACTCCATTGCATTCGGGCTTTGCAGGCCTTTCTTGCCGTGCACGAAGGCATCCTTGGACACTTCACAAATGCAATGAATCCAAGTGCCCGCGGGAATCTTGACCTTCTTCTTCGTCTCCTCCAACTCCAACCGCCAGCCCTGCTTTTTGGCCGCGGCCACAAAGCCGATCTTGCCCAGATCTTCCAGCACGCACTCGTGTCGCTGCCGGTCGGATTCTGGCGCCGGCACGAGCTGCTCAGGCTTTGTTGAGTTCTGGCCTCCCGAGAGTGCAAGCCAATAGCCAATAACTCAACTGAGGGCATGGGCATGGACAAAGAAAAGCTAGCACGCCATTGCAGGCTGAAATATCCCCACCTGAACCTTCAGCTTGTCCGGTTGTGGCTGGCCCAGGCTCCAAAGTGTCCTTGCCTCCGGAGAACACAACCCATTACATGGACGACGCATGCAGAATCCTATTTCGCACTTCGCACAACTCACAAGATCCAGTTGCAGGCTTGTTGTTCCCCACCTTCATGCTGCACTCTCTGGCTCTCCGTCGGAGGTGGTGGAGACTGTGGAGAGTCCTTGCCTCACGAGAACACCACCCGGCCCGGGACATGGACGACGCATGCAGAATCAGGCAGCATCCTATTTCGCACTTCGCACAAGAGATATCCAGTTGCAGGCTTGTCTTTCCCCACCTTCATCCTGCACTCTCTGGATCTTTGTCGGAGGTGCCTCTGGAGAGTCCTCGCCTCACGAGAACACAGCCCAGCAAATAGATTTCGCATCCAGGATTCTAGATTCTAGGTGGTGTCTTGCCTGGTGGACGCTTGGCAGCACCAGGGGGTGTCGTGTCTGCAGGCAAGGACATGAAGCACAACGGCAAATGCTCACTGAATGCTCACATGTCAGTCTGCACTCCTTCTGCTGCCGCTGCCTGTCTGCACGACCTGTTTTTCCTCGGTGTTCTGCTCCTCCTCTTCCAGGGCATCCTCCCCACTTGGCAGCATCGGGCCTCGAGACAACCCTGCTCCTAGCAGTACTGTACCGCGGCTACTACTGCTGCGACGCAAGCTGCTCCCGAGGCAACGGCCTGCAGAACTGTGCCGCTTCGCGGCAGCAAGCACGAGCTTCACCGCTAGCTCGCCCTGGAAAGCTTTGATGTCCTCCTGGGCTTCCAGGCGCAGCACTGGCTCCCGGTAAGGCGACTGTATGATCACGGGCGACAACGCCACAACCTGACCAGTGCCCGTGTCGCCATCCGAGCCATCATCGATGCCAGGGGCATCTCCATCCAAGTAGTGCACATAGTGCAACAAGCTCTTGGATGTGACTGGCGAACACTTCTTCGCAGCCAGCTTCTCCGAGTTCTCCCTTCGGAAGTTCAGGCTCAATACGGCTTTGCAGTCGTACGCTAGGGCTGCCTGCATGGAAAGGAACGGACCCGTGACCGTGATCACAGCCTCACCGGCCACGAAGTCTCTGGCTGCCACCAGGCCGGGACCCTCCCGGAAACAGGATTGCACCAAGGCCACCTGCATTCTCAGACGCAGCACGCTCAACAGACTCAACAGCAGCAAAGAAGTGGCACGGAAGTCTAACCTTACCTTAGTCCCGAGTCCCGACTCAACGTTGTCACTCTATGCTGTCCCACATGCCCGGTGCCTCCTGATCCAGGCAGCTTTTGGCGATGCTGAGGCCTGCGGGTAGGCGGTTCAAAGTGTAGCTGGGCACCACGGTGTCTTCTTCCTGGTTCTTCTTGCTGCTTGGGCTGGCAGTCAGAGTCAACGGACCTGACGGAAGTGTCAGCTCGGGCTTCGCTCCGGCAAGCTGCAGCCACTGCTTCTGCCAGCGATCACTCAGGACCTGGGAGTACTCACTCGCCCGATCATCCAGACAGGTTTCCCGTGCCACATACGCAAGAAGTTCCAGGTCGGTTTCCAACTTATCCAAGACATCGTCTGTGTTGCTTGGGTTGCTTGACAACCGACGACGGCAAAGCTTTGTGGCCGACTCCGCAATGGCCTCCTCGAAGAACTTGGTCTTCCTCGGTCTCTGCTCAGGAACAGGTTGTTTTGCGCAGAAGAAAGACGGAGGCTGTGTTAGTTCGTTCTTTTACGTCTTTTTCCTCCATCCAATTATTTGCTGTCAAGCCTCGCAGGGACCTTTTGTGTTTGCATCCCCAGCCAGGCCCAAGGCGCTGCCTTTTCTGCTGATTCCTTGCTGTACTCCAGCTGCAACAAGGAGAAAAGGAACGGACCCGGATTCATCTCCACGAAGGTGCATTTCGGAGGGAAGAGATTCAGCGAACGGAAGAGCTGCTGAGTGAAAGACTGGTCGAAGATCCGATCCCAAAGCAACTTGCCGTTGGCTCCACGCGGGACCTGGCTGTCCTTTTTGTCGGAAGAAACCGGTGCGAAGTCCAGAAGGCACGTCTTGTAGGCAGGAGACGACAGGAGCCTGGCAAGCAGCAGCACATATGCAACCCTCCTCCCGAGCATGTGAAAAAGAAAGTGTTCAGTGTTCACTGTTCACCATGGAATTGCTGCCGCATGTGCCTCTTTCAGTAACTGTATCCGGACTCGGACTCGGCTCTCCATTCCAAAGCCCTAACTCCTGAAACCAAGCCCGTTTCAATCCCTGACTGAGGTTCTCGTTTTGTTATTATATAATCATTGAATAATCATGTATTAGTCATGTATCTTTATTATCTAAGCAGCTTAAGCACGAGCTCAGAGCCACGTGCTAGGCACGAGCTGAATGCCACGTGCTTCAAGAAGTTCTTTATTATATAGACATAGAATACTATTAATTTGCTGAGCTTGACCTCGGAGCCACGTGCTCAGCACGAGCTGAATGCCACGTGCTCCAATAAAGTCTTTATTTCTTATATAGATGTATTATTAAATTTCTAAGCACGAGCTGTTAGCCACGTGCTCTGCTAAACACGACCTACAGCCTAAAGCTGAAATGCTTGATCTGTCATTTCTTCAGCCCGTCATCGTAATCCGCGAAGTCCTACATGCCAGAGCCAGAGACTGCCGAAATCCCAAATCCACACAGCTCGAAAATTAACTCCAACGCCCTGAACCTAACACGAAACGCCTCAATTAAACCTATACTTGTGTATCTAGTATCTATTATCTATTAGAGACGAATATTTTCTGCGGTAATGATGTCCAAGATCTCTGTAGGCATGTACAACCCGAGTGAAATGGAATACTTTCAAGTTCAAGGTTAAGTCTCAGTCAAGAATCAAGAACAGCAGTAACGAGTGACTAGTAACTAGTAACGAAGGAAACAAAGGACAGTAGCAGTTTTCAGGAGCAACCTCGTAGTAACCAGCTTTAGTCTCGGAGTGCGAGTATCTGTTTCAAGGGGAAACTACGGATGCATGACTAACCCTACAGCCCAAACAGCCACAAAAGCTGCAAGCATGTGCCTTGCAGTCACCGTATTGGGAGTGGGCTCTCCATCCTCGTGCACCACCAGCATGTTCACGACTCGCACTTCCGACAACTTCTCCACCGTGGTGCTCAGTTTCACACTGACCCGGCGCAGAACGGTTCCTGCATCTGCACCGACGAGGCTAAACACCTCCTTTTCCACAGCCATGCTGGCGGCAGGGTCACCCGGGAGAACGAGAATGCCCACACTGTTGAGGGAGCTTTGACGCATCCGCAGCAACGAAAGGGCATCCTGGCACTCGCCTTTTGAGGAACTCGAGAGGTCCTGCGGCACGACTCAGGACTCGGACTCATATGCTGTTTCCACTCACGCTTGCCTGCATGCGAGAATGCTCCGTGAACAGGTTTGCAAACAAACACTCCGATCCTGGAACCACACGGCCCCGCTGGTTGCCAGCTTCAGCTGCCAGTGTGTAGGCAAGGAGCTCTCGAGCAGCACGAAACGCTCCTGCACGCAGGGGAAAGGGGAAAGCTCACTCGGTTAGCTCAACCAGGGGTCCCGAGCTTGCAGGTGAGGACTCAGGACCGTCGCCGGATAGTCTAGTAAAACCTAGAATGCGACACCTGTCACCACTGACCACTCACCACCCGTCCTGCTTCTCTGCTTCCACCCGGGCCTTCTGTCGCTCGGCACCCTGGGCAAGCAGGGTCGTAGCCTGGGTGATGGCTTTGTCCAAGTGTTCTCTCATGTCGTGCCACTGGCTGGTCCGCTTGATTTGCAGCAGCCTCTGCCTGTTCTCCAAGAAGGAGCTCTTGTCGGCGACTGACTGCTTGGCCGCCTGTTCTGCTTCCTCCAGTTCCTTCGCCCGCTTCTTGCGCTCTTCACGATCAGCTGCCGCATTTTGTGCGGACAGAATTGCCCTCAAAGCCGAGGAGTTGCTCAAAGGAACCGAGTCCAGGGCCCCGGTGGCAAAGGCATGCAGCATGCTCTTCTCGTCGGCGGCTGTCAAGCTGTGCTTCCTCTTCAGGGGCTCGTAGTGCAAAGCAAAGTCTACACTCAGTGCAATGATCTTGTCCAGATCGTGCAAGGCTGTGGCGAGAAAGCCTCTGACAGGGCAAAAATCCTACAACGCCAGTCTGTCTTAAGTATAGGTCTTGCACAGTGCAGAGTGCAGACATGCTCTCGACTCTCGACTCTCGACTCCCGCCCGCCTTTCAGCATCTCCGCTTGCTTCAGGCCGAGCCC